TTCATATTCAGAGCTGTATGTACGGGCCTTCTACCATAACCTCAGCTACGTACAAGGTGAGCTGAGGTCGAGGGTCTACGGGGTGGAGATCCTGCGGACACTGTGGAATATGACGCAGATAATGGCTCCACACTTCCAGGATATACACGAGGTGATGCCGTGCATGAGCAGAGAAGAGTCCGTGGGCAACACATTGCCTATACGGTGGGGTTGCTTACTGTGGAGTCCCGTATACTACACTATGTCATCACCCACATTCTGTTTCCGCGAGCGTTCAATCATTCCAGGGTGTTGGAACATGACATTCCCATCATGTGGGCTATCCGACATGGTACTTTGGTGAACTGGAGGCATTACATCTGTTGGATGATGTATAAGGCCAAACACAAGGGTGCACTTCCATTTGCTTGTCTTGTTCAGAGGATATTGGAGCATTTTGGTGTTCCCATGGGCAATGTGACCTTGAAGAAGACCACATGGTATAATCAAAAGTTTGGAAAGCGTCTACTGGAGCAGTGCAAGATGACAAAGAACACGTGATACGCATATGGAGGCTGCCAACCTGTGTGATCCTTCACAGCCCTGATGTTGCTGGGGTGACGATCGGATATTAGACATATACCATGCCTTTGTGTGACATGGAAACGCATCAGGCTAAGAAACCACAACCAATCATCCAATCTCTCACCCGGTGGAACAATGGCAAACGCAATAGGCAGAATCTATCCATGACCATCCTGTGACGTAGCAATCAAGAGGGTACCTTTGTATTTCCCGTACAGGTGCGTGCCGTCAATTTGGATTATGGGTTTACAATATTTGAAAGCCTCAATGCACTAGTGAAAAGTCCAAAATACCCTGCGAAAGACAGCCTTATCGGTGTAGACACGTCGTTCGTCACAACACTCGTCCGTATCAATCTTGAACACAGAACCAGGATTAATCTGTGTCATGTAGGTCAGCCAACCAGGTAAGATGGCATATGATTTATCACAGTCGCCAAATAACTTCACAATGGCCTTCATTTTAGCCTTCCAAGCCTTCCTATAAGATATGTTGTATCCATACAAACGTTGTACCCTTTCCTGAATAAGAACTGGTTTCAGAGATGGATCTTCTTTTAACATACCTATACAAAAATCAAAGTCAACACAGTCAATAAATATACCGTAAAAATAACATAAACATAAACCCTAAACCAAACATCGCGTAATACATACTTATAATGGCTGCACAGATTACATCAGAATCCAGCTGTCTATGGTCCCGAGTAAGGCCTTGGTTTAGGCAGGTGTGTTCTTTACCCCACTTACTAACAACCCAAGTATTTCCATTCTTGGCAACATAGCCCGCACGTACCAGAGACAACCATCAATATGGTGTCGACACTTCATCACAAATCTATGGTCATCACTTTTTTCCACCACAGCAGTACGATGAGACTTCATACAATATAATTTGACTGCATGTTGCATTTCGGATTTAGTTCGAAACTCCTGGTACAAATATAATGGATCCCCTAAATGCCAGCCACCGTGGAAGTCATCGTCGCCATACAATATCTCCGTCTCATCATTAGGGTGAGCCCAATTAATGAAGGAATAATGTGGGCTTTCGTTCCAAAACGGCTCAATATCGGAACCTACGTCCAAATTTCAGGAGTTTTCCGTCAGTACGATTGATAACACAAATAGGAAATATTCATTTAAAAACTTTAATTTACTATCTTACCACTGCTAACAGGGTCAACACGGAGTGGTGGCATCACCTGGGAACTCAAGTTTCCTGAACTAGTGTCAACATCAAAATTCCCCTCTACGTCCATATCTGAGGTGTCACCCAGCGGAATAACACTCTCGGGTTCACCATCGTCTTCACTGTCCATATCCTCCTCATGCTCATCCTCATCCTCATCTATTTCCCTCAGTGTTATCTGACTTAAGACAGGTGCAGGAGCAGATAAACCGACCACTCTGTCTTCTTGACTTTGACTTCTTTCATGCATAGGTGCAGATGAAGATTGACCACAGTCTATTTCAACATATATCTCAATAAAGTTTTGAAATTTTCGGTCCACAATTGCATCTATGACACATTCCACATCTTCATCGTCACATATATCATTACCAATGTAGAATATAACATCCTTACCAACTGTAGACTCTACCCTGGCTGCCTTGTAGCCCCAATTTTTGGTGAATCCTCCCCTTAAGCTCATTGTACGTAGTGCCCCGTTTGATTTTCAACATTTTCGTTTTTCCTTCAAATTGAACACCGTTGGGGCCTTCATAATGCTTTCCATCATAGTAAATCATGGTAACATACATGTTTGGACTTGAGCTCATCTTTCACACGAATTTGGGGGTAGGAATTGGATTTTAGGGTTTTGGGTTCGGATTTGGGGTAAACAAATCAGAAAATAAGGGAAATGACAATGATTTCACAATTACTATGCTTTAGAGATGGTGGGATGAAATGGAAGGGTGTTTGGAAGGATCACAACTGACAAACAAGAGAAAGAAGAGTTTTGATTTCGAAAATATTGCAAATGAGGCCGAGAGAGGTCTGGATATAGGGTTTTCTGCGATATTTAGTCGACTAAATAATGGCCTTAGTCGACTAAATGTGCTCGACATGTAGTCGATCAAGGTGAATATTTAGTCGACTAAAATTCGTGTTTCTTGATTTCTGAATTTTGCCCATTTAGTCGATTAAAAGTGCAACTTGATCGACTAAATGGGGGCATGATGGTGGATAGTTCTGGGGGAGGGGCAAATTGATTATTAATTAATTAATGAGGGGTAAAAGGGTCAAAAAGCCTCTCTTCTCCTTATAAATAGAAATTAGGCTAAACATGTGTTTACAAAAAGCTATTACAATAAAATTAACTTTTTTGATAATAAAGAAAAAAGTCAAAAGTCAAAAGTTCCCACAGGAAGAATTTTTTTTAAGTTATATCATCTTTTTTGAAATGTGTCATTTTTTAAAATGAACATCTTTTAAGTAAATTTTAACTTAAAAATTTTATATAATCATCAAACGACTTGTAGCTTTTAACTTAAAAAATATATGTGCCAAACAGACTCTTGGCCGCTTTTTATTTTTATTTTTATTTTTTTGGGAACTGATCTTAATTGTCTCTTTGAGGCGAATCAGGACCCCCGGTATCGCCACGGGTTCGACTCTTAGAGCCGCCTATGAGACTAATCCAGATTTCGAGTGCGAGTCCAAGAATTACAGTACTTATGCCCCTCCCCAGATTTTTTTTTTTATGACATTGATCTCATGCTTTATTATTACAAAATAGTAAGATTTAATACATGTTACCCTCTTCATATAGTAGGACTTTAATTGTTGGTATCTGTTGTAAAAATTGCATAATCAATTACTTTAGCTACAATTGTAAATTTGGCTCAATTTTTGTTTGAATAAATAATAATTTTTTATAAAAAATAATAATTTATTATAAAAAATAATAATAAATCTCTAATACTTAGTAAAAAAAGTATTAAACAAAAAAGTAAATGCAATTAATATTTTACAACAATTCGTTTTTACTACCTTTTGTCATTTAATCATTAAGTAAATAATTATTAGAAAGAAAGATTAATAAAATAAAAAAAATCATTCTCACTCTCATTACACCTAAAAATACTCTTATTAAAAAATTGTATTTTTGTCATTTACTTTGAGGTGTTCAATTCGATTCTGTATCTGAAAAAGTAGAATATCGTATTGCCTTTTTAAAATTATAAATGTTATGTCAAAGGTTATAAAGCGAAAAAAAAAAGTTAGATACTTATAGAATTTAAGTAATAATAATACTCATAAAATAAACATGCCCTTTTGTTTTATGAAACGGCACTAAGAGTTTCTTCTTTAATTTAATAATTTTTTATATTTTTATAATAATCATTTGAACGTATCCAAATAAAGTAAAAAAATATCTAAGGAAAGATGAGGAGGGAATCAGGAAGAGCCACGTGATGGTGCAACTTTTTGGTGCCTTTCATGTTGTTTTGTGGGTTGCATTGCATAATGCATATCCTAAGTATCTATATAACATGACCCTTTCCAACGTTCCTACACTTACAGCTACCACTCACTCACACTGCGCCAGTACATTGAACATAAGATCAACCCTTTTGCTTCAGGTTCTCTTTCTCTCTTTCTCTAAAACTGGTTTGTCATGCTATACTTCCCCTCCCCCCCCCCCCCCCCCCTTTTTTTCCCATCTAACATATGATCAAGTTTGCCTAGTTTGAAGTTTTTTTCTTTTCTTTTCTTATTATTCCTTTTTCTCTCTGAGATTGTTTTGGTTTGAAGTTTTTTTCTTTTCTTTTCTTATTATTCCTTTTTCTCTCTGAGATTGTTTTGATAAATCTTTCACCTTATTATGATTGTTTGGTTGTCATAAAAATCTTTTTGTGAAGAGGGGGTTGCTGGAATTAAAAGGGCATGGAAGATATAGCTTGAAAGTCTATGTTTTTTTGTCTTGTTCTGATTTTCTGAGATGGAAGATTCCTCACTCCACCCCTTGTGAATTTGCGTATGGGAATTTTTGGATTATTTTATTTAGTTTTAAATATGTCATTTTGTCTTTCAAAAACCATAATTGAGAATCGGAACAATCAACAATGATATGTAGTACCTTGCTTCCTTTTTGTTAAATGTAGAAAACAACAATGTTTCCATTATCTAATTTTTTTTTTTCACATAAAAGTGATGAAAATCATTGTGGGGTTTTGATATGAAATTTGTTAGGTTCAGATTCCATTTCTAGGCAGCTCTCTAATTTGAAAATTTTGTTAGGTTGCATGAGCATGAAGGTAGTTAGCTAACTAATTGGTGAATTGAGGATCTGTATGTGAAATTAAATTTTTGACACAGAATCTATTCATATATGTGTTATATAGGTATATTTAGATGTTCTACATGCATGCCTGTTGTAATTTAACTTTTGTCTTTCAAAACTTGAAATTCTGTAGTTCTGCATCAAGATGGCATCGGTGAATGCTAATGTGACATCACTTCTCTGCAAGAATGGTAACCATGCTTCGAAGTTCCCGAGTACTACGTTCTTGCCTGGGTTTGATGTTGTTGGGCGTGGTGTTTCAAGTGCCTGGAAGAAGGATCTTGTTCCATTCTCCATGGCTTTGGTACCTAGAGCCACATTAACATTTGATCCTCCAACTACTAATTCAGACAAAACCAAACAAAGGAAACACACTGTTGACCCTGCTTCTCCAGATTTTGTTCCCCTTCCTTCCTTTGAAGAGTGCTTTCCAAAGAGCACAAAGGAATGCAGGTGTGCCTTGTATTCTTCTTTCATTTGTTTATACTATTAATGGAGTTTTACTTCAGATAATATGGCTATCCAAACCTTTGTTGGCAAACTGGATAGGCACACATGTTCTCTATCAGCTCACTGCAGTTTATGTATTATCATGTTTACAGGGAAGTCATTCATGAAGAAACTGGTCACGTGCTCAATGTTCCCTTTCGACGGGTTCACCTTGCTGGGGATGAACCACACTTTGACACCTATGACACTAGTGGTCCCCAAGATATCAACCCAACGATAGGTATGAAGTTGTTAAGAAACCATGGAAATGGAGAAAAGAAAAGGATGATTTTATTGATTTGCTGAATTGAACAGAACAAGGAGAGAAACTCTCCTCCAAGGGTTCCACCCTTTTACAACTGAGCACTTGCTTGGTTCTCTCAAGATACAAACTGCTGAATGATCCATTAACCCTTACTCCCCCCGATTTGTTCATCTAACTGCTTTGTTTTCCCTTCATTCTTCCAAGCAAATATCCTTCTGTCATAACAAAAGATCAAGCTTTTTGTGCATTTTCTTTATATCTTGAGTGTGTAGTACATTTTCCTTTTGACTAATGTTGGGCTAATAAGGACAATTTTTTTGTTGGGTGTGTGTGTGGTGTGTGAATGAATGAAACAGCTGTAATTCTTATGATAGATATATTCTAAGATCCTCTCGTGAATTTCTTGTGAATGAAACAGCTATTATTATAATTTTCCACTGCTGTCTGTCTAGCCAGTATTTGCAGATCCTCTTGATAAAAGAATTGTATAATTTCAAATATTAGACAGCAGCTTTCACAAAAATACCGATAATTCTTTTGTACATGTTCGATAAATTATCCTGTCTTTTCTTTAATCACTTGCTTTGTCTATTGCCTATCCAAGTTGCTTCAAACTGTCTTGAGAGATTGCTTGCAACTAGCTTAGTGCTGAGCTACCTCAATTTATTCTGATTGTCTTCCTCTTCCATTCTGAAATTTCCTTGTATTGAATTTCATGTATGGTTCATATATGATATGTAATCTTGTTCCAAAAGGTCTTTCTTTTTTCCTTTTCACATTTTTAATCCAGCAACAGTTTGTGCTTATCTTGAGTTTATAACTGTTGATTTGATTTTGATCCATTAACCATAAAAGTGGTTGTAAAAGGTTGTAAGTATAATCTACCTCGTAGTAATATCATTGAAGAATCTAATTTTGGTTGTTTATGTATACTTACCCCTATTCTTTGGAAATTTACATTCATCTACTTAGTTTGTTTTCATGAATTTGATGATTAGGACTCCCAAAATTGCGCAAAGAGTGGGTTGATAGGAGACAGGAAATTGGTCCACCAAGATACACTCAGATGTACTATGCTAAGCAGGGAATCATTACTGAGGAGATGCTTTTTTGTGCCACTCGCGAGAAGCTTGACGCAGAGTTTGTGAGGTCAGAAGTTGCTCGTGGACGAGCTATCATCCCTTCCAACAAGAAGCACTTGGAGTTGGAGCCTATGATAGTTGGAAGAAACTTTTTGGTGAAAGTAAATGCCAACATTGGAAATTCTGCAGTTGCAAGCTCTATAGAAGAGGAAGTTTACAAGGTTCAGTGGGCAACTATGTGGGGAGCTGATACTGTGATGGACCTGTCAACCGGTCGCCACATCCATGAAACTCGAGAGTGGATCCTACGCAACTCAGCTGTACCAGTTGGGACTGTACCTATTTATCAAGCCCTTGAAAAAGTTGATGGAATTGCTGAAAATCTTAGCTGGGAGGTATTCAGGGATACCCTGATTGAACAAGCTGAACAAGGTGTAGATTACTTCACCATCCATGCAGGAGTTCTTCTGAGATACATTCCTTTAACAGCAAAGCGCATGACAGGAATAGTCTCCAGAGGAGGATCCATTCATGCAAAGTGGTCCTTAGCTTATCACAAAGAGAATTTTGCTTATGAGCACTGGGATGACATCCTTGATATATGCAATCAGTATGATGTGGCCCTATCCATTGGTGATGGCCTACGACCTGGATCCATTTATGATGCAAATGACACAGCTCAATTTGCTGAACTCTTGACACAAGGAGAACTGACGCGTAGAGCATGGGAAAAGGATGTGCAGGTGATGAATGAAGGACCTGGACATATACCACTGCACAAGATTCCTGAAAACATGCAGAAACAACTAGAATGGTGTAATGAAGCACCTTTCTACACTCTTGGTCCTTTAACAACTGATATTGCTCCTGGTTATGATCACATTACCTCTGCAATTGGTGCTGCGAATATTGGGGCACTTGGTACGGCTCTTCTCTGCTATGTCACTCCAAAAGAACATCTTGGGTTGCCAAATCGGGATGATGTGAAGGCTGGAGTTATAGCTTACAAGATAGCTGCTCATGCTGCTGATTTAGCCAAATCGCATCCACATGCTCAAGCCTGGGATGATGCTTTAAGCAAGGCAAGATTTGAATTTCGATGGATGGACCAGTTTGCTTTGTCATTGGATCCAATGACAGCCATGTCCTTCCATGATGAAACATTGCCATCAGAAGGTGCAAAGGTTGCCCATTTCTGCTCTATGTGTGGCCCGAAATTCTGTTCTATGAAGATAACTGACGATGTGAGAAAGTATGCTGAGAAACATGGCTATGGAGATGTCGAGGAAGCATTGCAGCGTGGGATGGAAGCTATGAGTGCTGAATTTCTAGCTGCCAAGAAAACTGTCAGTGGGGAACAACATGGTGAATCTGGTGGAGAGATTTACTTGCCAGAAACTTACTTAAGTTCCAAGGAGAGGTGAGGCTATACCTTTTCACTTGGCATGGATTAAAAAGACATGCTGTGAATCAAGTCAATAAATATGCTAATAAGAGAACTTATACTGAGTAGAAAATCACATACATAATATGCCATAAACCACATTATTCCACAAAGCATGGGTCCCTGTTGAGTGATTACTTAACATGAAGAACCACTTTATAAATAGAATTTTGAGATTTCCTCAAGTTAGAATCTAATAACTCATGCCGCCTATTTATTCTCATTTCTCATGATGACTACAAAAGGGTGGCAGGCTGCATAAGGCTCCCACCATTGTGGGTTTGGGGAGGGTTAGATTTATTTACACAATCTTACCCTGACCAGGAAAGCTATTCGCACGACTAGAACCTTGACAATGATCCCAAGGTCACAAGGCAGAAACTTTACCGTTGCACAAGGCTCACCATTTGTTCTCATAATGACTATATGAGAGTAAACTTTTTTTCCACATTCATTGTTCATCATATTCTTTTGTGACTTACCAATTGAATTAATGTTATATAAATTGAATTAGTATGCTTCAGCACATCTTAAATCTTAATCATTAGAAACTTCTGAACTTTTTTTGTTTATATTGGTGGTGCTAGCAAGTGGGAATCTGGAGCAATGATATAACTGCTCCTTTATGACTGAAAGGTCATAGATTCAAATCTAAGAAATGGTCTCTTTGCAAATATGCAAAAGTAAGACTGCATACAAGGATTGCTCTCACCTTTGTCCTCGCTAGTCGGGGTTTAGTGGGAAGTGATTTTATTGGTGATGCAATCACTTAGGTATAAAAAATAAGAGGGTGTAGAGGCTTAAGAGTTCATTGTGCCACTTTCCCTTTTTTAAGCAACTACACAAAGATAATGCTTTACTATTTCAGGAAAATGTTTGCCAACCATTTGACTTTTCTAGGTTGTTGTTAGCTGAAATGAAATTATTTTGCAGGACTACATAAATGGAGCAAATCATTTCAGAGAACTTGGAGCTAGCTACATAACTGAACTGGCCTATCAGGATGGTGAAGCATTTTCAAGCTGTAGGAGAATACAAAGAGATCAGTTTATAGACAACATTTAAGAACTCCATCTTTATTTTACTTTTGTTATCCAATTCTCATCAATAAAATTGCTCTAGTATCATGTTTAGTACAATCTTTATCTTTTGGGCTATTTTATTAACACAAGAGATGCACCAGGGGTGCCTGTATCTGCATGAGCTCTGGCTACTAAGCTAGGAATGCTTGCAGATCAGGCTGAGATAGTCCCTTTGAACCTGATCAGGGTGATGCCTGCGTAGGGAGCGTGCATTTTTATCTTTTTTTTTTTATGCTTCTGCAGGAAGTGTGCGTTATATACATGGTTTGTGATAGCTATTTCTGGGAAGCAGATTCAGCACGTTGGTCTTGGTCATGCCAATCGTTCACGATTGGAAAGTAGCTGAACTGGAAGAATATACTACGTGATCTGAATTATTAGTATACCATTGTTAATATATGGTCAAGATCATATAATACAGCATAAAACCTACTAATCTTATATAATCATGTCTATAATGAAAGATAAAAGTTTTCACTGATAAAACTATCTTATTGTATGTCAAAACTTGTATAAATATTATTTGTTATAATTTTTTTAACTACAAATATGGATTAATTTCCTGTAGTAATGAAAGAACCCATTCAACCCAAAAGCTTAAGCTGGTAGATGAGGTTATATTAATGATTTTATATATCTCAACACGTTCCTTCTCACTAGAGTCACTGGGCTTGAAGGGTGGACAATGCACAGGTCCATCTACCTGTGTGAAGAAAGAAATTTCACTAGAAAGAAAGTGGGGGGCGGTAAGGATCGGACCCAGTACATCAAGGCTCTGATACCATGTAAAAAATTAATTGAACCCAAAAGCTGAAGCTGTTAGAGATCCAAAACAAATGTAGCTGATTCATGCCTAGGAGTACCAAGTTAATGACATGAAGACTGATGAGCATGAACTTTGAAATGTTAAGAACAATCAAAATATGAAAGGCTCCAATCTGACAATTATTTGTATACGAGTTTTTCTTTTGTTTAAAAAAAATTGTATGAAATTTATTAGAATGAAAAACATTCCTGGAAACAAATGCCTTGTAAGTTGCAGGAAAAAAAGTAACGAAAGTCGAACATGCAGAAGGTGCTACAATCATCTTCTTTCTTCAAACATTGCGTTTGTCTGAAATATTCAGCTTAGGAATTGTTTGCTCCAAAGCCAAAATATATTTAAAACTTCTACTTTAGGTTTTTTTTTGGTACACATGAATTTAGAATTTTGAAAGCTAATTGAATGCCATAAAAACTCCTACTTTAGGAGCTGAAATCTGCGTGTCAGAACTAAGAATTTGATTCATTGCTGCCCAAGAACTCCCTGGAATCTTCTCAATATAGCTCAACTTTATTTCTAGCGGGAATGTGACCAAAATTTAATTTTTGAGATAAATACACACAATCACTTGTAACAGGCTATTTTTGAGATAAATTTAATTTTTGCATACAACTGATACAACTATCAGTCGTATCCGTTTATTCAAAAGCAAATTCAATCTTAAAGCTACAGGAAAGAAAGAAAGAAAAAGGCTATTTATTTTTTCTTATATTTTAATTAAGTAAAATAATTATGTCTGAATCTAAATAAATCAGTTTTCCTGTTTTGAAGGTTATCACATTTTGTCGAACTTTCTGCCCACGCTGGACGGGACTTGGATCTAATTATTAGGTTTCCATGTTTGGTAATTAATATATAATCTCGTTATAAATCATCATTGATGATGGTAGTCATTATTGGGAATGGCATAGAGCACAAACACACGCGATCGCAAAGTAGTAAAGAGAGAAGAGAAGAAAGAGCATACATAGAGTTTACCTAATTCATCCGATGTAAGTTACATCATCCAGCGTAAGTTACCTTCAGAAATATTTTCTCACCCCATTCAGTACAATATTTAATTTATAAGGGGAATATAAATAAATTTAAAAACTCTAAGCAATAACAACTATTTATGGGTCTAAGTACAAATTATTAAAGAAAGAAAAAATAAAACAAGTCAGAAACCCACAACATGTCATGCCTCTAGTGTCCCGGGGGTGCTGTGTCCTCATACACACCCCATTGGAGTGGCTCCCACACTCCCCGCTCTCCGCCCACACGTTGACTTTCTTTGCGTCCCGCCAAGAGTAACTATCTAATTGTAAAGTATAAGCCATACATAAGAGTCTTCTATGTTGAGGAATCCAAGTGTGGATGATTGAGTGAAAAAAGTCGCACATTGGTTAAGAATGGACTGAGTGAGCACCATGTAAGTGGAAGGACCCATACACCTAATGCTTTAAGGTTTTGGGTTTGATTGTGGTGTTCCGAGCCCACTTAATATTGCTGCTCACTTGGCCCATGGTTGGCGGTCTCTCCCCGCCATGAGCTTCCCTGTGCACGGCCCTACATTCCATAGTATTATAAGAGTGTGTGCCTTCTTCTAATTTATTTATTTTTTATAAAAAAAAAAATTCAAAATTCTATTGTATTCATTCCTCAATCTAATAAATTTTTATGCATTTTTTAAAATAATGTAATCTAATTTATTCAAAAATTAATTATTAATAATCAATGGACTGCTGACTCTTGATATGATAATCAATTAACTTGATAATTGATGAGAATAAAAGCAGACACCAGTTTTTACTTAAAAATTTACTTGTTATCATTCCATAATGCATATAATCTTCTATTATCTCTTGTTAAATAAGAAGAGAAAAGAGAGGAACATTTGAAATATTTCTGTGTGTATTGACTGATGAAGGATGTACAATATATAAACAGACTAATGGGCTAAGCCCAAACCTAATGTAATCTAACCTAATACAAAATAAGGAAACCCTAATTACAAAATAAGGAAACCCTAATTACAATATATTTCTAACACTCCCCCTCAAGCTGGAGCGTATAGGTCATATGCACCAAGCTTGTTACATAGAAACTCTATTCGAGGGCCCCTCAAAGATTTTGTAAACACATCTGCTAATTGTTCATTAGAGGGTACAAAGCTAGTTTTAATTTCACCAGCAAGAACCTTTTCTCGAACAAAGTGGCAATCTATTTCTATATGCTTGGTTCTTTCATGAAACACTGGATTTGATAAAATGTGTAGAGCTGCTTGATTATCACAAATGAGAGTTGCCTGTCCAGTGTCTCCAAACTTAAGTTCTCTGAGAAGCCGTTTAAGCCAGATGAGCTTGCAAGTAGTAGTCGCCATGGAGCGGTATTCTGCTTCAGCACTTGATTTGGCAACTACGCTTTGTTTCTTACTTTTCCAGGAAATCAAGTTGCCTCCAACAAAGACACAATACCCAGAAGTAGATCTCCTATCAGTTGGACAACCAGCCCAATCAGCATCACAATAGCCAACCATTTTATCATGACCTTTATCTTCATATTCAAGGCCTTTCTCTGGAGATGCCTTGATATACTTAAGAATACGAATGACTGAATTCCAATGTTCTTGATATAGAGAATTGAGAAATTGACTGACAACACTAACTGCAAAGGAAATATCAGGCCGAGTGACTGTGAGGTAGTTCAATTTTCCAACCAATCTTCTATACTGCTCAGGATCTGAAAAGGGCTTCCCCTGATTTGGTAGAAGCTTGATACTTGGATCCATAGGAGTATCAGAGACTTTGAATTTAACAGAGCAGTTTCTTCAAGAATATCCAGAGCATATTTCCTCTGAGATATCACAACACCAGCTTTATATTGGGCCACCTCGATTCCTAAGAAGTATCGAAGTTTCTCAAGATCCTTAGACTGGAAATGATGACATAAGTGTTGTTTTAATCGAGTGACGCCATGTTGATCATTGCCTGTGATGACAATATCATCCACATATACCACCGGATAAATAGATCCAGAAGCAGAATGACAATAAAAGAGAGAATGATCAGCTGCACTCTGAGTCATGCCAAATTGTTGAACAACACTGCTAAATTTACCAAACCAAGCTCTTGGAGATTGTTTGAGGCCATAGAGAGACTTACGAAGACGACAAACAAGACCTGACTCCCCCTGAGCAACAAATCCAGGAGGTTGCTCGATATAAATTTCTTCCTCAAGATCACCATGAAGAAAAGCATTCTTGATATCCAGTTGGTAGAGAGGCCAATGGCTAATAGCAGCCATGGCAACAAAAAGGCAAACAGTAGACATTTTCGCCACAGGAGAAAAAGTATCAATAAAATCCAAGCCAAAGACCTGAGTGAAACCCCTCGCCACCAAGCGAGCTTTAAGACGATCCACTTGACCATCAGGTCCAACCTTAACAGCATAAATCCATCTGCAACCAACCACAGATTTTCCAGAAGGAAAAGGCACCAGGTATCATGTGCCATTATGATGAAGAGCACTCATTTCATCAATCATAGCTTGTTGTTAGGAATGTGGCTTCCATACTCAAGAGGGGGGTGAATTGAGTATTACAAAATTTTCGCAAAAGCCCCCTTCTAGTTTCTAAATAATTATTTCAAGCAAACTTTGATATGTGGAAATCTAATCAATACATTCAGACAATCCATAATATATAATATATCACAATTATAGAACTTATACTAGCACATACAAGATATCAAAGAAGCAATTAGAGTGCTAGAAATAAAGAGTTTAGAGTTTCGAGAATTGCTAACACAATATATCCTGGTTCGGTCACCACCACTTGTGACCTACGTCCAGACTGAAGCCGCTCGATCAACTCTTTCACTAATGGTCAAGCTTCACGGGTGCTTGACAAACCTTTACAATCTTCCAAGATTTCGGGTTCTTGGATACCTTTCAATCTCCAAGTTTACGGGTACTTGGTAACCTTACAATTTACTACAAATTTACTTAGGTATTTGGCTACCTCTCAAACAATGGGTCTCACAACCCTTTCAACTCAAGAATACAAGAAGGGGAATATTAGGAAATGAATATACACTCTCAAAGTGTGGATATACAACTTGAAGCACTATGGGTATATGGATTTTCAAGATATGAGCTCAAATATATTTGAGCTTTGAAAGATATGAAAGAATATGCAAATGATAGTGTAGAAGCTCTCAAATCATCCTTAAGATGTGTAGGAATAGTGATCAATGCGTTTTAGGGTCATAAGGAATGTATTTATAGTGTTTCTATTAAAAACTAGCCGTTTATGACCGTTTTATGCATTCTGCCCAGTAAGTATTCGAATACTTTTCATGTGGTATTCGAATGTAGCCGTTTATAATCGTTATAGGCCTTCTTCCCAGCAAGTATTCGAATACTTTTCGTGTGGTATTCGAATACTTCATCATGTATTTGAATACTGCATCAGGTATTCGAATACTTTATTGACAGCAAGAATACTGTTTCGTATTTTGGGCATAACTTGAGTTATACTTGTTGGATTGATGTGATCTTGGTCTTGTTGGAAAGATAAAAGAAATATCTACAGCTTTTATGATAAAACAAGATCCAAATCCATCATCTTAGATATGAAAAGTTGTATGGAAGACAGCAGCAAAATTAAGCAACAAATTTTAGGTTCAAATGTGTTCTAGCTTGCTTCCAACCACTTTTTGTGAAAGATCTTGACTTGATAAATATGTTTTGAAGTTATAAAATATGTCAAGGATATTTTCCTTGGATCTTTCAAATTTCTTTCAAGTATATAAAGATTATGATTATGCAATTTGAAAAACACGTTTACTTTGAGAAAAACTTTGAGCTCATGCAATGTAATCTACCATATACCCTCACATATATTCTAAGTCCTAAAGATATAATCCAAATATGATTTTAGACTTAGCTATATGTCTTGTGTCTTGGTACTTGAACTTGATGTGTTGACTTGTTGAATATGACAATGTTTGGCACTTTGTTGGTTTTGATCATTTTTCACCATGGTTATGATATTGAGATTCTCTTAGATGTTGTCCATGGTTAGTTGTCTTTGATCTTGGTGTTGCTCTTCTAATTATTTCTTGTTGCTTTTGATCCAACGATCTTGACACTTTGATGTGACATTACTCTTCTTGTGTGACTACATCATACATCTTCAATATCCACATACGGTTGATGTTTTTTGCTCTTGATCAAAGATCTTCTCTTTTTGTTGTTGCCATTTTGTTATCATCAAAACATACCTTATATCTACACTTGTCTCCATCCCAAATGTGAAAGTGCATCACCTGTGGTCTTAGGAACAGATACAGAGGACAAAGAGGAAAGGCAAGCAAAATATGATGGAGAAAGACGATGATAACTAATATTGACTGTATACCTGGCCGGAGGGCGAGTATCACGAGTACCCTTACGAAGAGCAATGGGAAGGTCACTATCCGAAGGTGGGACCGAGCTGTGGGAGGAGATACAGTTGAATGTGAGTCCACAGATACATTTGACGAACTATGCTCGATCTCATCAGCAGAAGAGGTGATAGAAGGAGAGTCAGAAACATGGACGGGTAAAGACGGAAGGTAAAAAAGGTCACTTAGGAAGGACGAGTGTACAAAATTAGTATCCACAGGAGTAGTAGAGGTTCCAAAAAAGGGAACTGATTCAAAAAAGGAGACATCTGTCGAGATAAAGTATCGACGTAAAGTGGGAGAGTAGCAATGGTAACCCTTCTGAGACCGAGGATAACCCAGAAAAACACATTTATGAGACTTGGGAGCTAATTTATCCAAACCAGGACCAAGATGATGAACAAAACACGTAGAACCAAACACATGTGGAGTTAAAGGATATAAAGCTTGATGGGGAAATAAAATAGAGTGAGGTACCTTATGATTGAGAACAGATGATGGCATGCGATTAATGAGATAGCATGCAGTAAGTATAGCATCACCCCAGAATGTGTATGGAACATTACCATCAATAACAAGGCACAAGTGGTTTCAACCAGATGACGATTCTTACGCTCGGCTACACCATTTTGTTGAGGTGTATGAGGGCAAGATGTTTGATGAAGAATGCCATGAGATGAAAAGAATTGTTGAAATTGATGAGATAAGTACTCAAATGCATTATCACTACGAAAAGTACGAATAGGAATACCAAATTGAGTTTTTATTTCATTATAAAATAACTGAAAAATAGAAAACAACTCAGATCGCTTTTTCATTAAAAATAACCAAGTACATCTGAAATAATCATCAATAAAAGTAACAAAGTACTTAAAACCCAAAGTAGAAGAATGACGACTTGGTCCCCAAACATCAGAGTGGACCACAGAAAAAGGAGAAACAACTTGACGACTAAGACGACTCGGAAACGTACTACGAGTATATTTCCCAAACTGACAAGACTAACAATTTAAAGTAGAAAGAGACGATAAATGGGGAACCATCTTCTGAAGCTTTGCAAGACTAGGATGGCCCAGACGAGCATGGATAGTAAGAGGAGAATCCACAGTGGAGCAGGCTGAAGAAGAGGGAACTAGTTGATAGAGGCCCTGAGACTCACATCCTTTGGTAATCTCCTTCCCCGAACTCCGATCTTGAAAGATGACAGAGGTTTTAGTAAAAGAAACAACACAGTCAATGGATTTGGTCAACCGACTAATAGAAAGTAAGTTAAAAGGAGAATCGGGAACATATAGAACATGATCCAGAGATATATTAGGTAAAAGAAGAACCGTGCCAATCCCCCTTGATTGGACCAGAGACCCATTGGCCATAGTAATAATGGGAAAAGAACCAGTAGTACAAAGGGAAGTGAATAAGGACTTATTACCATAAATGTGATCAGAAGCCCCAGAATCTAGAGTCCAAGGGCCAATCGAGTGCAACTGAGATATGCCAGCAAAAGAATTACCAGTGGAAGCAATGGATGCAGTAGGACCTGATGTTCGCTTCTCAGACCACCAAGTCACAAAAGCTTTTGCCTGACTCCAAATAGCTTCACAGGTAACAGCAGGTCGAAAAATCTGCTTGATAGACGGATGAAGAGTAGCTTTAATGAGACTACACAACTGAGCATCAATCATCTTCCATTGTGTGCGCTCATTTTCCGCCACAGATTCAGCCTTAGTGGTGAGATGAGATGTATAATTCTGCCCATCTAACCAGAGTCGCAGATCGGAAGACCAAGTATCATAATTGGACCCATCCAATTTATCCACACTCAACGGAGCAAGGATATAAATTCAGAAAATAGTAGATTCCGACTTTTGTCCCGCCGGAGTCCCAGAAACAGAAACATTGGAGACAAGAGTGTCCATAATCAAAGGAAAAAAGCAGAAAGAACAGGTCAAAAACTAACCAGTAGAAGAGGGATCTGTGCGTCAACACAAAAAGAGGTCCAAACACCAAAACAAGACCAGATCCAGAACCTACGCAAGGAGACGAGAAGATCGCAACCAGCCGTGGCCGGAGAGGGGCCTCCACGCGCCGCCACGCGTTGCCGGAGTGAAGGAGAGTGGCCGAGCTGTCACGTGCCCGTGAGGGCGCGTGTGACCTTGAAATTGGACGAGACCGGTGGCGTTGGAACCGCGCGGCGGAGACGATCACGACGGTATATGGATCGCCGAAAAAGGTGACCGGGCGGTGGTTCTGGACGAGACAGAAGCTGTATGCGGAGAGAGAAGCGTCCGAAAAGTGACAAGGAGACAACTTCGGAAAAAAAAAAAATTAACCGACGATGAACAGTGGGTTCACTGGAAAAAAAAAAATTCAAAGTTCCTTAGGTTCTTGATACCATGTTAAATAACAAGAGAAAAGAGAGGAACATTTGAAATATTTCTGTGTGTATTGACTGATGAAGGCTGTACAATATATAAACAGACTAATGGGCTAAGCCCAAACCTAATATAATTTGACCTAATACAAATTAAGGAAATCCTAATTACAAAATAAGAAAACCCTAATTACAATATATTTCTAACATCTCTATATATTATATATATTATGCTTGTATGAATCTTGTGACAATTGACACGGAAGATGACGAGTCAAAGGTCCAAAATCTACCACGAAAGGCAAAGATTACAGTTCTGTCTGAAGCACTCTCTCAACTCCCTCTTTCAGGTGCTTTTGCTCAACCACTTTTCTTTCCACTCCCTCTTCTCTTTCTTTGTTTCTTTTAACAACTCATAACAGAGGCAAGAGAATGCTTGCAATCACTGGTTTCTTGACTCTCAAGAAAATCCAGTGGAAACCCATCTCTGCAAGATCATTGGGTGATGGTTTCACCATTCAAAATTTGATATTTTTTTTTTTCATTCATTTCAACTCAATCTTGATTTGGTTTCTTTGGCTTCAATCAGGAAAAGATGTTTACTCGAGGAAGCTTGAATGCAATTGCTGGAAAGCTAGCACGTGATGGCTCCAACAGCAGAACTTGGAAACCATCCTTTTTTATTTTTAAGCCACATCATAATGTCTTTACTGGAAACTATGATGCGAATGTTCTAATGGCGGCTTTGGAAGAGAAAAGAAAGAATGTAATATGGCATGATCGTCGTAAAGAATCACGCTCCATTGATCTTGATGCACCTGAAGATGTTTTAATGGGGATGGTGATTAATGTGTCAGTGAAAAAGGTTGCTGGGATTTGGAGTGTTAGACACTGGATTGCATTGAGAAAGATTGATGGGGTTTGGTATAACTTGGACAGTAACCTTCGTGCTCCTGAACCTTTCCAAGGTACAGACCAAGTAAGAATATTCTTGGATCATACCATTCGTCATGATGGGGAAATTTTCCTTGTCAGGAATGAGTAAAAACGACTGACAATTTTATGAACTTTTGGGACTTGTGTTTGTTAATATCTTTTGCTGTTGACTCCTGATGTAAATGCAGAACTTGATATTTAAACAATCTGACATGTCAAAAAGAGACTATTGTGTACACCAGCATCAGATAGAAACTGATTAAACATTCCATACACTGTGACTCAGAATGAGTTGCTGAATGAAATCATTTTTGTGAGATTCTTTGTCTTGTTATTGAGAATCTTTAATTGCAGTTTCTTGGGGTATAATTTCCTCTGCTTAAAGTTGTGTGAAACTAGTAATCGCTGCTTAATGAGTGTTACCCCCACCTCCCTCATTTTCCAATGAACAATTTTCTTATTATGGGGGGTTTTGGGCAAAGATAAGGGAAAAATGTATGTAATTTTAGATGATATAAGTTGTGTCATTTTAAATGACACAAATTGTGTCATTTTAAAAGTATGAGTTTCACCTCTTTGTGTCTATGAAATGACATAATTTGTGTCATTTAAAATGACACAAACTTTTCCTTATAATTGTTTCAAGTGTTGAGCCCATTTAAAATAAAAAATGTTCCCACTTTGTTTGATTTTACTCAACCTAGATAGTAGATACCCTTCACCAGAAAATTTATGGCAAAGATACCTATCTTAGGCACACAGAGGTTTTATGTGGGACCCACATAGATGTGTCTTTGACTAAGTAATGCATCATGAAAGTGTTCTCAACAATGTCTGCATAGTCAATGGGAGGCAGTGCATCAGAAATAGGAAACAAAGAAAGCAAAGTGTATCTGCTCATTTTAGTTTTCACTTATTACCCATTATTATTCCTCTTTTCTCACCACCTTAACCCACCTTGTTGGCACATGTCTTTGTTCCTTTTACACAGCTCTTTCATACCCATAATAGAAACACACACATGTATACTTGTTTCCGGTTTGAAATCATCTACAGTTTTATTCTATAGACAAAAAACAAAAATCATAAACAAAACGAAATAAAAAAGAGAAACACAATAATGAGTCACAAACATCATGCAGTTCCTTATTGCAGTTCCTCATTTCATATTTCCAACCTTTCCAACAACTCTATTGCTGGTCTTACCTACAATTCCTTTTATCCTTGACCACATAACATTCACATAACATGCACACTCTCTTGTTCTCTCTCCCTCCTTTTGTATATAATGCTATCATTATGCCAAATAAAAAAGTGAAGCACAATAATGAGTCACAAACGCTACTTCTTTGAGAAAACAAGCTTGCACGGGAAACAGAACTCTAAGAGGAGAGCTTATAGAAACCAGCATGCAAAGAGCTGCATGTTCAGGATTCCTTGGCGCTCTGAATTTTCCCCCATTGAGTTTCTGAAGGGTGTTGCAGAAAGAGTGACAAAAGCTTTTTGCTTGTGTTCTGTGAGAAGATCTACAAACCGAGGTTCATCTTCCATGGGAAGATCAAAACCCATAGGGGTCTCTGTCGATTATTATAGGACAGCTGCTGTTGAGGACTGCATTGATTTCATCCACACTTCCTTTTCTAGATCAAATTCTTTAACCACAACAATAGACAGAGAAGAAGTTATGCATACTTTTTTAAAAAACTTTCAATCATAGACTCTTAAGGTGTGGTTGCTACAATATTTTAGTGTCTATGTTCTTGTATGTGTTCATGTTTAGAAAATAACAATGGTGTGACCAGAAGGTTACTGTGGAATATATCATATATGTTTACTATGTGGCCATACAAACATAATCAGTTGTATCTTCATTGTATGAGCTTCTAAGTTCAAACTCTGCATTTCATTTCAGCTAAAACAGTAAGTTGTTCTTTCCTTTGATACTTATTTTTAAAAATTAATTGATATATTATGAACAATTATTAGTGGAAATTTTAAGCATTACAGTGCACATGCTTAACTAGCAATATTCAATTAGAACCATTTAATAGGTGTCACATTCACATTAAAGGGCAAGTTATTCTCAATGGAGTATAAGATTTGGGTCTGAAATATCTATAAGCCATAAAAAACATGAATTAATAGTTTCATACCCTTGGCAAATTGAGTAATCATCTTACTTTAATCATTAAGTTCTTGATAAGCATCAAATCCGAATGGTTTTATGCTGAATTGCTGACCATTTTGCAAGAGATGATAGTGCTTCTGCCAAGGTTAGCTGAGCTCAACGTTAGAGTCAAAGCTCAAAGCAGAAAGCGTTACTTTCAAGTTTGAAACTTGCCTTTCTCTTTTTGTTATGACATCAAATCACATCTAGATGATCATAATTTACATATTGGGTCAATTCCATTTAACCTTTGGCGCTTCTATATACTAACTGAATAGTGAATTAACTTCTGATTTCATTGAACAAACAAAATAGGCTACAATTGTTTCTTTTCTTAAATATAACTCCAACATAGACAACAACAATAGCAGGGTGTTAAAGCTTATCTTCTTAGGTTGTCTTCTGCTTGAAATGAAATTTTCATTTTAAACGTTGAAATTTGGATGACATTACCAGAGACAAGACATAATTTTAAGTATATTGCCTAGACAAGTAAAGTAAATTACCAAAATATCCAAAGATAGCAAGAGTTCCAATTGTTAAACAGATTGTACCTTGTTGGTAATTGATCCAAAATGAATAGATTTGTTCTCTAAATACAATGACCCAGAAAAAAGCAAACATAATTTATAAGATTCCAGAAGGCTAAGAGGTTGAAAAGCTAAGTGAACAAGACAATAATGCATGCACTTGAAATAGGTAAATGCAAGGTAATTGCTTCAGTTCTTGGCAAACAAGCCTCCAAAGCCGCCACCCTTCTTCTTTTGTGGCACTGCCACTGAGTTCTTGCGGCCACTAGTGGTGCCTCCATTCTTCTCCTCCACCTTCTTGAGGATAGGGTCAGTCTCTAGCAGCTGGTCTTCCTTCTGCAATCCTCCAATAATCCAATCCCAAAGTCCTTTCTCCACTTTGCTACCACCTTCACCCTTTGCTGCAGTAGCTGCAAAGACTCTACTAGTTGCTGGAGCAAATGACATGATCACTGAAGCCATCTTCAAAGCTTAGAGAAGTTTTGGTGAGTTTGAATAATGGAGAGTGGAGGCCAAGTGCCAATGATAATATAATATATGTAATGTGGTTGCATCTCACAAGTGAATGTGAGCCATTGGATTGGTTTTGAATGGTGACTTGGGAACTCTAAAGCATGAGCTCTCCACAAGTGTCTTATCTTGACTGTTTATAATTTTTTTGGTGCCTAAAATTTTTCATCAGGAAGGAAAAAATTATGGCAAGTTGAGGTTTTTTCTCCAAGTTGAGGGTTCATCCTTAGGAATAAATTTTTGGTACGACTGGTGTACCTAGATTCAGTGCATCTCATCAATGAAAACATTACACATTAGAGGAGAGAGAAAAAATCTGACAGAAAAAAAATAAATTTAGCTAACATGTAATATTTTCATTGGTGGGATACACTGAATTTTTGGTACAGCAGTAGTACCAAAGATTTATTCTAATAAATCTTTGGTTCTACTGCTGTACCTAGATTCAGTGCATCTCATCAATGAAAGCATTACACATCAGAGGAGAGAGAAAAAATCTGAAGAAAAAATTTATTTCATCCTTAGCTGGTGAGGCTGTGAATTTGACATGTGGTTACACTAGAACCATTGCCTCTTCCACTCCATTTTCAGGTTGAACATTACCTATGTGAGTAAATGGCCACTGCCCACTTCTATGGGCCTCTAATTAGGATCCTCTTTTTAGATAGTGGTCCTTAGTCCATTAGACAGTGTCATAGTTTATGACTTACTTGGGTCCAAAACATATTGCAAAAAAACAAAGGTTTAGGCCCTTTGACATGTAATAATTTTTTTATAAAAAATATAAGGATAAGATTGTGTACAATCAACTCGATTCATATTCTTGCAAGTCTAACTTGAATATAAAATTTATCCTTTTAAAATTGTACTTTTAAACTTGTAAACTGATTCATGTGTCTATAACGCTATAAAAATAGGGGTTTGCATTTGTCATTTAACATGACACAACAAAGTTTCCTACACACACAACGTTTTGTGGGGCCCACAATTTTTGAAGAAAAAAGAAAAAAAGAAAATTACGGCACGCAAAACGAATCTCTATAATATTACACAATCATTTTTCCTACAACATAACTCTTATAAAACCCATAAAAATATTATTATAACTTAATTGTGCTATTTTTTTATGCATACCATTACCAGTTCTGTATCTACTGTACCAAAATTTTAACTGGGCTCGTTTGAATTTTCAGTACTGCATAAGTTTCTAGAAAAACCATGTCGTCTGCAAATATTAGTATATAAAAACATTTATCAATTTTGTTATATTGCTTTTGAATTAGAAAAACCATATGCCTAAAAAGTCACGTGTTCCTTTTCAAAAAGGGAAAAAGAAGAAAATAGAAATCATGGGTTGGTTAGATTGCAAGGGAAAAAGAGGCTAAATAAAGGAGAGGTTTCTTATGTGTTTTATTACAAGTTTCTTTTTCTTTCAAACGTTTGCTCCTCTATACTCAATAGTCAAGCCAGTTATTAACTATGTTCATTGATTTATACATGTTTTTCTGACACACCAATTATGCGAATTGTTCCAAATTTTGCAGCAAAACACATTTTCTCACTTCGGGTAAACCATATCTAACTACTATTTTTTCTTGCACTCTACACTGTATTGTGCGCATAAGAATACAAATAAAAAAAGGAGGTTGGCATATATTTATTAAAATTATACATTGAACCCATTTCGTAAAATTAAATACACTGATAAAAGGCCAAACCCAAAAAATTCTAACATTCTCTTGGGCAATATTATCAATGATAGGATTTTAATTTATTTTGAAATCATTTTATTTAAAATCAGCGTATTATTTTTACATAATTTTAAGCACATTAAGTGTAAGACTTAAATTTTCAAAATATCATCAAGACCTATAATCAAGCAAAATAACTTTTCTTGCAAGGCAGAAAATCAAAACACCATTAATCACGTTATTTTAAAAAATTGAATAGAAATTGTAAACAAAAAATGATAACATGACCAAAAAATAAAAATAATTATTATTATAAAAATAAGGATTTAGAACATATAAATATAAGCTCTTTTGCGAATGAGAAATATTTCATATAACAGCAACAAGCCAACAATGTCAAAAAATTTAACATTTGTGCGCCGCAGAATTTTTGCTGTTAAAATCGTTTCGAGCATGCCACGATCAATTATTAATTTATGAATTAACCCCATAAATAAATCAAATAATATATAAATTCAAGTGATACAACATTCTAAATATTTTATTTAACAAGAAGTTCCATTAAATTTGTAAATAAACTACTGAAGTAGTATACGCCTACTCAATTAAGCAAACTAACCTCAAACATGAATGAAGAATTGCTCAAATCATTTTCGCATTCATTTACAATTTTCCAAGACCATCATAAGAATAAAGCTTAATTAACAAATTGGGGGAGCAACATTAAGTGCATCGAAATATCATAAAATAATTTACAAGATTCACAAAGGAATATGCAATTAATAAATAAAGAAGTCTTTTCCTGCGTCATTATTGACAAGCCATCACGCGATTCACCGCTGATTTCCATTTTTTCCCCTTAAACAAACGACTCATAAACAACCTTTCATCTTCTTCAGGTTCATTTCAACGTAAAAAAGCATTACACACCACTTAAAAAACAACCTTTCGTCTTGTTCAAAACCGAAGCTTCATGCAAAGGACCTTTATTTTATAATCCAAGAATTCAAACAAAAACCCCTCCATCTCCTGTTTTTTCAAACCTACTTTTTTTTTACTCCTAATAACCACTAAAAAATATACATTTTACATAAATTAAACTAACGTGAAGTGGAGAGAGAAAACCTAAGACGAAGTGAGATAATTAGGTAACCAGTTAAGCTTCTAGTCATCATATACATCAATAAAAGTTTGACATTTCGTTTACCCAAAAGAAAAAGCATGCTAATTTTAGTAACCAAAAGATAGAAAAATAAAATAAAAATAACACCCTGAGAATAAGTGCATGGATGGATGGTTCTACTTTTCCGGTAGGTATCACACATACACTGAGTTTCTATCAACCTAACAGAGACTCTACGATGCCAAAAAATTCCCAACCACCTCTCCTAAACCCTTCTTCTCACTATATCATTCTGTAAATATATATATATAAACACCAATCTTTCTCTTAAATTCAGTTCAAGCTTAAAACCCAGTTTCTTAGAAGTGTCATAATTACCATATCATGCAAATGGATACACTCCCTCTTCTCTTCACCCTAGCAGCTTCACTATTTGCTTATTTCCTATGGTTCCACCACCTAGCTCGAACCCTAACCGGTCCAAAAGTGTGGCCATTCGTTGGCAGTCTCCCAGTTCTCTTCAAGAACCGTAACCGGTTTCACGATTGGATCGCCACAAACCTAAAACAAACTGGTGGTTCACTTACTTACCAAACATGCATCCTCCCTCTCCCTTTCTTGGCTCGCAAGCAAGGGTTCTACACAGTCACAAGCCACCCAAAGAACATAGAGCACATCCTCCGGACCCGGTTCGACAACTACCCGAAAGGACCAAAATGGCAAACCGCGTTCCACGACCTATTAGGCCAAGGAATCTTCAACAGTGACGGCGAGACATGGCTCATGCAACGCAAAACTGCAGCACTTGAGTTCACAACACGAACACTAAGACAAGCCATGGCTCGGTGGGTGAACCGAACCATAAAGAACCGGTTATGGTGCATTCTAGACAAAGTCGAAAAGGAAAAAGTTTCAGTTGATTTGCAAGATATTCTTCTACGTTTAACCTTTGATAACATTTGTGGACTCACCTTTGGTAAAGACCCTGAAACCCTTTCACCTGAACTACCTGAAAACCCGTTCTTCGTTGCATTTGATGCTGCCACTGAAGCCACGTTACATAGGTTATTATACCCTGATATAGTTTGGAGGGTCGAGAAGGTTCTGAACATTGGTATAGAGAAGAAGCTGAAGCAGTGTTTGAAGGTTATCGATAGTTACATGAATGACGCTGTTTCTGCTCGTTATGAAGCTCCTTCCGATGACTTGTTATCACGGTTTATAAAGAAGCGCGACGGCGACGGAAAGCCCTTCAGTGACGCCGTGCTTCAACGCTTTGCTTTGAACTTTTTGCTCGCCGGAAGGGACACCTCATCGGTGGCGCTCAGCTGGTTTTTTTGGCTTGTCATGAACCACCCTCACGTGGAAGAGAGGATTTTAAACGAGTTGACAGCAGTTTTGGCTGAGACTCGCGGCGGAGAACGACAGAGGTGGGTGGAGGAGGCGGTGGACTTTGAGGAAGCTGAGAGGCTTGTTTATCTGAAAGCTGCTTTGGCTGAAACGATGCGTTTGTATCCCTCCGTGCCGGAGGATTTCAAGTACGCCGTCTCCGATGATGTTTTGCCGGACGGGACGGTGGTTCCGGCAGGTTCAACGGTGACGTATTCAATATACTCTGTGGGGAGGATGAAGAGTGTGTGGGGTGAGGATTGCATGGAGTTTAAACCGGAAAGGTGGATTTCGGTTCATGAAGACCGGTTCCAGTTCGAACCGCCAAAGGATGGGTTCAAGTTCGTGGCTTTTAATGCTGGACCGAGGACTTGTTTAGGGAAGGACTTGGCTTACCTTCAGATGAAATCTGTGGCTGCGGCTGTCCTGCTTCGTTACCGGCTGTCTCCGGTTCCCGGTCACCGGGTGGAGCAGAAGATGTCTCTCACTCTCTTCATGAAACATGGGTTACGTGTGTTCTTGCATCCACGTGTGCTTAAACCACAGGTTGTTGCTGCCACCTCTGCATAGGAAGATGGTGGTTTGATCATAAACACAGAGTACAGAGGGCAGTGTGGTCATTTCACCAGGATATAATGTCAATTTATTATTTATGTTTCTATGTCGATACTGTTTTATTGCTTATGGGTGGGTGTGTTTGTTGTTGGGTTGCGTCTTGGGTGGGTGATTCAAACTTGGGTGTGTCCTTTGTTGTTTATTTACATATCAGAAGATACAGGTTTTTATATTCATGTCCTTAATCAATAATACAATTACACAAATATA